AAACCATCAACAAAGAGAAAACGGAACCTATTGAATGGGAGAAAATGTTGGCAAATCATATATCCGATAAAGGACTAATATTCAAAATATGTAAAAAACTCACACAACTCAATAACAACAACAAAAAAATCCAATTAAAAAATGGGCAGAGAATCTGAAGAGACATTTTCCAAAGAAGACATACATATGACCAATATCATTAATGAGAAGATATACAGAATCATTAATCTTCAGGGAAATGCAAATCAAAACCACAATGGGAAATCACCTTGGATCTGTGAGAATGGCTGTCATCAAAAAGAACACATGTTGGCGACGATGTGGAGAAAGAGAAAGGGAACTCTCCTTACACTGCTGGTGGGAATGTGAGTTGGTGCAGCCACCGCGTAACAATACAGAAGTTCCTCAAAACACTAATAATAGAACTTCACATGACCCAGCAATTTCACTTCTGGGTATTTATCTGAAGAAATGGAACACTAACTGGAAAAGATATCTCTACCCCCATGTTCACTACAGCACTATTCACAAGAGCCAAGACATGGAAACAACCTGTGTCCACCAGTAGATGGATGGGTGAAGAAATTGTGACTTTATAACACACACACAACATAATGCTATTCAGTCATAACAAAAAAATTAAATCTTGTCATTTGCAACAATAAAAATGGACCCCGAAGGCTTTATGCTAAGTGAAATAAACTGGAAAAAGGCAAATACTATTTGATTCCACTGATACATAGAATCTAAACATAAACAAATAAAACCCATAACCTCCCCTGAGCTCATAGATAAAAAGAAGAGATTGGCGGTCGTCAGAGGCAGGCAGGGGGTTACCGTGGGGGAAATAGGTGAAGGGGGTCAAAAGGTAAAAATTTCCAGTCATCAAATACATGAGTCATGGGGAAATAATGTAAAAAACTTTAAAAAATCATGTATGGAGAAACTATTGGGTGTCAGGCACTGAGCTAAAAAAAAAAAAGATTTTCGAGTGATGATTAGTTTTTCAAAATGTCTTTCAGGACTATTAGACACCATCTTTTTTTGTTTTTTTAGCGAGGCACTAGGTGGGCTTCCCAGGTCAGTGATAAAGAATCCACCTGCCATAGGAGGCTTGGGTTTGATCCCTGGGGTAGGAAGATCCCCTGGAGGGGGAAATGGCAACCCACTCTAGTTCTCTGGGAAAATCCCATGAACAGAGGAGCCTGATGGACTATAGTTCACGGGGTCAAAAAGAGTCAGGCATGCACGCAAATACAAAATACAGGTGAAGGAAATGAAAATACCTGATCAAATAGGACACTGGGTTATTTGTATCCTATTTCCTGAGTGAGAGGTTGATCATAGTTCTGGCAAGTATCATAAAAGAGTGTTTAAATCAGGTCCATCCAGGAAGACTGATGCTCTCTCATTTATGCAAGCCCATTACTAAAATTCAGGCCTCTCAATGTGCAGTTAAGAAGGATTCACTAAGGCAGTGGTCCCCTACCTTTTTGGCACCAAGGACCGGTTCCATGGCCTTGGGGCGGGGGTGAGGGGGGTTGGGATGATTCAAGTATATTACATTTATTGTGCACTTTATTTCTAATCTAATGCTGCCACTGATCTGAGGGAGGTACTGGTCTGTGGCCCAGAGGTTGGGCACCCCCAGTCTAGAGGATGAAAAGCACAGGTGGAGAGCCAGCCTATATTTTCACCTGGGGGATGGGCAACTGTCCCTTCCAGGTGGGACCACAAGGCCTCAGGAGAAGGCATCTTTTTCTCCTGCATATGGAGAGTCAGAGGTGCAGCAACCACACACCTGGAGGCCACAATCGCCGGAAGTACAGGTCCTAGAAGTTCCCTGCGTTGGCTGATGGAATACTTCCTGTGCACGGTGTCTCCCTCCACTGACCCATGGCCTTTCCTAAGTTAGGAGGGAAACCTCCCCACAGAGCCTCCACCTCCGCATTTAAGGCCAGTTCTTCAAGATCTAACTTGCAGGGCTGGGTCAAGTGCCACACACTCCCTGGCCTGGTCACAGGCACGACTCACACTTCCCCACCTTCTCCTCCACCCAGCCTTCCTCTTGCTTAGCTGAGCAGCAGAGGGCAGGCAGAGAAAAGCCAGAGGGCCTCGGTCCTACCAATGAAGGTGCTGCAGAAGGGGTGCTGTCAGGGGACCCCGGTTGCTTCCATCAACTTCCAAACAGCTTTGCCTGGGGTCTTCATCACTAAGTTAGAACAGCTCTAATATCCTGGGATAAAGATTTTAGGTGTGGGAGTGGATTCAGCAGTTGATTCATCTCCTAGCCCATGGGATTGATTAATGTCAAGCTGATGGCGATGACAGAGAGGAATTGCTTCCTAGTATTAAAACTGCCTGGATCTCATCTCTGACGGTTGAGTAATGTCGTTCCGTGTTAGAAATTTTGGGGCTCCTGCTCACCCGTTCCTCTGTACTGCTGTTAGCTTTGCATCCCTGGAGGCTGCCAGAGATGAAGGGCCCCTGCAGATGGACCAGGACATAGGTGTAAAAGCGGGGTGAGGAGGGACTTCCCTGGGGGTCAAGTAGTTAAGCATCCTTGCAATGCAGGGGACGTGGGCTCAATTCCTGGTTGGGAAACTAAGATCCCACATACCAAGGAGCAACCAAGACCACACGCCCCAATTACTGAAGCCTGCTCGCTGCAGAGAAAGATCTTGCATGGTACAATGAAGATCCCATATGCCACAACTAAGACTCAACGCAGCCAAATAAATAGTTGAAAAAAAAAATACTAGTTAGGTTCATTTGGTAAAAGTGGGGAGACCTAGGTTCCTTGATCTTGAGCTGTACACCTACCTCAGGCTTTTCTCTCTTCTCTCAAAGCAAGGTCCCCAGACCAGCGGCATCAACAGCACCAGGGAACTTGTCGGAACTTGCTAGAAAGGCAAATTTCTGGTCTCACCCCAGTCTCTTAGGTCAGACACTACAGGGCTAGTACACAGCTATCTGAGTTTGAAGGAACCTCCCAAGAGGTTCTGATATACCTGAGCTGGAAGAATCTATTCTCCTCCTGGGTATAACATGCCATGTGAAGGAAGAATGTGGATTTCCGAGTGGATATGAAACCACAGCAGGGATGTGGCCCTAGCTGAGGCTGGAGGAAGAATCAGCCTCATAAGGGCTAGATTAGGAGGATGGTGGAAAGATGAATCCAGGCTCAAATCTGAGACTCTGGGCTCCCAGGCGGCTCCATGATAAAGAACCTGCCTGCGAATGCAGGAGACACCAGAGATGTGGGTTCGATCCCTGGGTCAGGAAGATTCCCTGGAGGAGGAAATGGTAACCCCCTCCAGTATTCTTGCCTGGAGAATCTCATGGGCAGAGGAGCTGGGCGGGTTACAATCCATGGGGTCACAAAGAGTCTGACATGACTTAGCAACCAAGCACACACATAGGGGAGTGTCTCAGGGACAATCACAGTGCTGGCCCTGCCCTCCCTCATTCAGCAGGGAATCAGAAGTGGCTGAAATTCCAGGCAGGGGTCTTGGACTTTGGAAGGGATTTTCTTTGCTACAGCATTGTTCATGGTCTTCACTGGAACCCTGTTAGCCTCAGAAATAATGATTACTCGGACCATTGTATTGATGAAAACATTTTAAGGATCCAAGACAGGGAGGGGTTGACAGTGATCCTTAATGGTGACCTAGCAGAGGCAGAGCCAGCTGTGTGGGGCCTGACACTTATAAAATTTTGGTGGCTAAATGTATTATGTTCACAGATTTTATAAAACCCATGGCCACATGAACACCTGGCCGTGGGTCCCTCAGGACCTTACAAAGGCCTGTCTATCCTCACCCTTGCCCTTCAGGTCTGAATGTGTTCCGGTTCTGACTAGACTCCACCAGCCCAGAAATTAACTAGACAGATTTCAGCTTTTCTTCCTACTCCTGTCTTTTTCCTTTTTTAAGTTTCTTTTTTATTTTTAATTGGAGGATAATTGCTTTACCATGTTGTGTTGGTTTTTGCCATACAACAGTGCAAATCAGTCATAACTGTATATATATCCCCTCCATCTTGATCTTCCTCCCACACCTCCCCATCCCAGTCCTCTAGGTCATTATGGTACTGATGAATCTTTTCCCTTTTTTATTTCACTTTATTATTGTCTGCTGCCACCAGCTGTATATAAATGACTCTGGAAGATAAGGTAGGGCAAAGCCTTCCTGTTTCACCCTCTGGCTCAGAGGCAAGGAAGAAGACACTGGCCCCAAGAATAATCTGGCCATGACCATGTGGCCTGGGGGGTGACCTGCATTATTATACTTCTATAACATTTTCAGGCAATTTTTGCCTCCTCCTCTTTGGATTCCTTGCTCAACTCAAACAGCTCCCCTTCCGGTCACTTCAGCAAAGGCGTCCCTTCTCCTGAATCTAGCCAGACTTGAAACCTCGGGGCATTTCTGCCCCTCCCAACGTCGCAGAGACGACAAACGCTTGCCCAGGGCCCTGCAGAGACAGACGGCATCAGACCTGCTGATCCTCTCTTTCCAAAGGCATCAGACAGCAAAAAAAAAAAACCTCTCCTTTCCAAATGATCAAGAGTTTTCTGTACTTTTGAAAGCCTCAAGAAGTTCCCCTGGGAACACAGTGCAGGTCACTCAGCACCATGAGTCAGACCTTCAGCCCTTTCTTAGGTAATTCTCCTTGAGTGGCACCCAAGGGATCCCACCTGCCCCTGGAGCAGACACTCCTCTGGCCTCAAGAAGGCTCTGGACACTGCTCTAAGACCCTTGTGTGTCCTCCCCACACTGTGTGGTTCTTCCACGCCACCCCCCCTCCCCCCGACACACACACCTTTGGCCATTTTTCTCTGATCCCTGCTGGACTATAAACCTTGCTCTAGACGCCAGAACCAGCTCCCACCGAGCCTGCTACATGGTCCTTACCGCCCCCCTCACCCACCCTCGGAGCACTCCCTCCAACCCAGGGCTTGCAGCCCTGCTGCAGGGGGACCTCTTTTGGGGTCTGCTCACCTGAGGACAGGAGGCTGCCACTGCTGCCGCTGATGATCTTGCCTTTGCTGCCCATGTTGGCCAGCTTAGACGTCTTCAGCGTCCCCGTCTCAGTTAGGTCGATGGCAATTTCGCTCAGGCTGCGGGCGGCATGGATCTTCGACTAGAAAGACCACCGGGTTGGAGAGGTTAGGTGGAGGACACTCCCCTCCTGGCGAGGACATGCCGACCACAGCGATCGCCTGTCATCCTGAGATCTAGCAAACGGCCTCATGGCCCGAACTGCAGCATTTTTCTGTGTGTGTCCCGGGGCCCATTGCTCATCCTCTGAAACTTTCCCTCAGGAGCAGATAAGACTCCAGAGGTGACTCACTAGGAATTTTCTAAACCTGTCATCCCCCAGGCTGTGTATACAGGGCTTACAGAGTGTGGATTTGGAGTCAGACAGACCTTGATGAGGGTGGGGGGGGGGGGTCCCGATTTGGGGAATGACTTTAGGCTCACGGAGCCTCATTATTCCCAGGATGAAACAGGGAAAACACCACTTACTGCTCAAGGTTGTGTGAGGGTCAAAGGAAGTCAGACAAGAGAAAGGCCTCCCTCCCCCAACACCACCTCCTACATAGCTGTCAATAAACAGTAGTGATTATACAGGACTTTGTCCTTAAAGAAGGAGAAAAAAATAATTGTCAGCTTGGTGAATGATTTAAGAGATGTCTGAAGTAAGTTTAGAAAGTTTCAGTAAGTTCAAACTCTTAAAGTGTTAGCCATGGAGTTATGAAAACTCAAGAGGGTTGTGAAGTGACCACGCTACCAGCCTGCAAGTGTGGTGCACAAGCACAATGTGTAAGCATGGTGTGTAAGGGCTTCTGGAACAAATGCTCGTTGGGATGTTTGGTTCCCATTAAGAGGCACCTGGCACGGTGCCCTGCTTCCATTCTGATACCTAAATGTATGAGCCCAAGTCTTCAGATTATGGCTAAGACTCCACTGACTCCACAAATTAACTGGCCCACTTTGGCAAACAGCAGAGCGGACCAGAAGAGATCAGAAGAGGACCCTGTGTTCACAATTACATTCCTAAAAGTAACTGCTGCAGTGAAGCTTTCTGCTCTAGTTCCCAGCTCTGGAGGTGGAGACAGGTTTGCGTGCCCCCTGACAATTGCTGAGCATGTTGTTTATTTTCCCTTCATCATCAGGAATCAGTTCATGATAATGCTTCAGGCAGGGGCTTCTGCTGTACTGTGGAATTCCAGAAAACAGCTATCAATGCTAGTGTAAACTGTACACGTGTCCATCTTTCTGTGGTCATTGGTGATATGCCAGGGATGCACAGATAGAACTGGGCAAGGCTCCCCACTGAGGCTTTCAGTTATTTGATGTGTGTTCACTCCTGGCTGGTGTGAGGCCCAGTCTGTCCCGACACAGGAGAAACCATGGAATGTGGGCAGACCACTGCCCGGCTCCCTTCACATCCTGTGCCCACAGTGGTCTCCAGCAGAGTTTGTCTGAACCCTGAGACCCTGCCCTTCCTCTGGCCTCCGTGTTGATGCCAAAATTGGTGAAAGACAATGACTTTCGACTGCCAAGTACTTTCCTCACCTGAATTAGATGAGAGCCTGAGAGGCAGAGGAAATGCTAAGATTTTTTGCTTTTTTTGTTTATCGGGTCTGACTTGTCTTCTTCCTCACACTCTTCTATCTCACTGATCCTTCCTTTTTTTTTTTTTCCGTGATGCGGCTTGTGGCATCTTAGTTGTCCAACCATGGGTTGGATCGGTGCCCCCTGTCCCGAGTCCTGACCACTGGACCGCCAGGAACTGATCCCTTCTTAACTGTTGTCTCCTCTCCAACCTCAACTCTGTCCTTACATTCAGAACCAGGCTGCCTTCCTGGGGTGAAGGCTTCCTTGCTTGTGAAATAATCCCAGCTGCCAGTCCCTGGCAGGGTTTTCTGGCTTGTAGCAGAAAGCAGGAAGGCCTCCGTTTCGTTTTGACACAGAATATCAATCACATGCACCTGGCTAAGTTTTATCCTCTGAGCAAAGCAGAGAAAGCACAATCCATCACTTCCTTTCTTTCAACAGTATTCTCTTACCAAGGCCCACGCGTCACCAAGAGAAGCCCACGCTTGCAGTTATGCAAGAATAACTCATGAAGTCACAGCCCAATTCACCCTGGTGAAGGATCCAGGCTCTGGAGTCAGAAAGACCTGGACTGGAATCTTGGCTCTTTCCAGCAAATCACAGATGGACCTTGATTTCTAACCTCTCTGATCCTGAGATCCCTGTTTGTAAAATGAAGCTCTTAAAATGCACATCACAGAGGTGTGATGTCAGGACTAAATTAGATAATAGACATCAAGGTCATTGGAACTGGAATAAGCTATAAATCAGGTCCTGGGAGGAATTTGCTAGATGAGGTTCAATGAATGACTCCACTGAATATTTCAGGGGATCTCATCAATCTCGTGGGAAACCCGTCCCCCCTGGACCCCATCCCAGCCACACTAACCTCAGAGACAGGAAACAAACTAGGAAAAAGGGACAGCAGGTGTGCTTTTGAGGGAGATTAGATTCTCAGAAGTTTTAGGAAATTACTGACTTCTGTCTAGAATGGAAATATCACAATGCCTGCTTAGATCAGGAAGAGAGAGAGCACCAAGAGGAGACAACTTGATGGGGAGACTCCCTCCTTGTAACGTCAGGTCTTTGGGTCAAAGAACCTCCAAAGCTCTAGACGTTTTGCTTGGAGGGTCTTGCTGTACTAATTATTACTACAGGCATTCTGTGAGCAAGGTTTAATTGGCCTCTACCATGCTTTCACTTGGCTTTTGATCTAGACAGAATAAAGAATAGCAGACTGGATCAAGTGGGGAAAAAAGATTCAGGAGGAAAGATGTTAGGTCTGGGGGCCAACTCAACAAGTCCTCAATCTGAATTCAGAGGAACAGTGACTAATATTCACTCTAAACAATTTAAGTTTTCAAATATTTTCCTCTGAACTCTATTAGAGATTCCTTGGGTACATAGGTTGGCAGGATCCAGCTGATGACATTTCAGATCTTTGGGGTCAGCAGATGTAATTTACCAAATGTCACTGGTGACTGTACAGCCCCTCATCCTGAAGGAGCCATCAGAAAGGAACCAGTATGGCCTCTTTCTGCTCTGCCTTTAGTGATGGAGGCTGTGTGTGTGTGTGTGTGTGTGTGTGTGTGTGTGTGTGTGTGAGAGAGAGAGAGAGAGAGAGAGAGAGAGACAGAGAGAGAGAGACAAGGAGAGATTTTAAGTGATTTACACCAGAACCCTGAAAGAAGAAAATAACCAAGAGCCAGTGTATGAACACAAGACTTCTCGGTTCCTTACCCCTGCTGACTCCAACCACCAGACCACACTTGTTTCTGGGGTTGAAAAGAATCCCTTGGGAGGCCTGGGCTTTGCTGAAGCACTTCAGAGAAAGGAATGGTTGGCATGGCTCACTACAGTAGAGTGTGAAGCAATGGCTAGCATGCCAGCCAACACTGGCTGCTCAGAAATACTTGGAAACACTTCATCCCAGGCCTGCCAACCATCACTCACCCGGAACCATCCTGCCCACTGGAGATGGGTCACACTGCTATTGTCTAAAGAACATTCCAGAAGTGAAAGGTGTTGTAACATAATTCTTGAGGCAAATTTTATCATCTCTGGTTTGGGGGTACTTTTAAAGAGTTTAAACTTTACACAGGTGTCGGCCAAGGAACAGTATGTTCGATTAGAATGGTAATAATGAAAGATAGCTCACATCTCCTGAAACAATCACAAATACTGTGTCATTGGACCAGTGAATGATTTTGGTCAGGGGTTTCTTTGCTGTTATTTAACTGAGGAAAGAAAGAAGGAGTGAGGAAAGGCTTGTCCAGGGTCACAGAATGAGAAGGCAGAATCCTTGGACTTCTCTATGGGGCAACCTGTTCCTCACCTGATACTGCAAGCAGAGGAACTGGTTCCAAAAGGAAATGCATGGGCTCTGGAGCACTTGTGAATATTCAGAGCCTATCTGGGGAAAATTCTCCTGCTCCTAGGAATAGATGTATTTCCTTCAGTCCTCCAGGGGTTGCTGAGGTGAAAGTTCTCTATGGCTATAAGCGTCTGGTTTGGTCTCTTAAGAGACACTTCTTATTACAGGTAATCCTTGATAGTTACTTTTAATTAATTATTTTTGGCTGCACTGGGTCTCCATTGCTGTTCTTGGGCGTTCTCTAGTTGTGCCTGGGCTTCTCATTGCAGTGGCTTTTCTTGCTGTGGAGCATGGGCTCTAGGGTCTCTGGGCTCAGTAGTTGTGGCATACGGGCTTAACTGCTCTGCAGCATGTGGGATATTCCTGGATAGGGATCAAATCCGTGTTCCCTGCATTGGCAGGTGTATTCTTAACCACTGGTTCACCAGGGAAGTCCCTGATGGTTACTTTTAAAGGTTTACTTGCTGTATCAGTGGGTTGACCTGTAAGCCTGCTCCATAAAGCCTCCCCAGTTGCAGGTGAGACAACCTTCAATAGTGCTGTAGAACCCTAAGGATGAGCTTCCTGAGTTACCCCAAAGATGTTCTAATGCAAAAAGCCAGCACGAGGAGGAGGAGTTCAAACAGCTAAGGTACCATCCTTAGGGTGAAGCATGCTTTTTCTTTTCTGCATTCAACATTGTGGCATCAGTGTGTGTGGGGTCCTCGCAAGAGGAATTGGTAGTGGGGTTCAGGAGGGTTGTCAAACTCTCTTACCTCTCATCATGCATTGCCGAACAGTACAGAAGAGAAAAGGTTCTAAGGTTTCAACCTCCAACTCTTGCCACTGGAGGGCAAATCACTGACACCCACCCACTGTCTCAATACAAAGCATGAGTCAAAACACTTTGGCCCTGTTTCTTTGGATCTAATCGGGCCTCAAATTCCTGTGCCAAAGCCCGTCATCACCAGGAGAGCTGTAGAATACTCTCATTATTCCTGGCAACAAAAATATTCCACCCTGTGCCCACTCATCCTAGAAAATGACCAAAAGGGGGGTCAGGAAGAAGACCTAGGAGAGGAGAAAATGTGTTACAGAGGAGAAAGTGACTCCCACTGGGAAAGGCCGTGATTTGAAACTGAATGATGACTTAAGGGTTTGCTTGCTTTCTTCCTGTCCTATTGTCCTACTATCTTTCTCTTACCTCCCACTCAACATCTCTCCTTCCAATCTTCTCCCCAAGCCAGGGAAAAAGCATCTCCAACCAGAAGGAAAATAACACAAAAGAGGAAGCCACAAGAATCCTAAAGGGCATCAATCCAATAAGTCTTGGACCCAGTAAGCCCAGAGTCCTGCCACCTCCTCCCCTTTCAGGACTCACGGGATGAGACAAAACCTCCCATGGGTGATGGTATGGCTAGGCAAGGGGCCAAGGCCCATTCCCCACCCTTCCTGAGCCACCAGAATCCTGAGAAAAATACAGAGCCCATCTTGATATGGCTCTTCACCTGAGGGGTAATGAACGGGAGAGGCTTGTGTGGGGAAGGCGAGAGGAGCCCAGAAGCCAAGGCAGGAGGAAGAAGGGGCAGAATGTTGACAGAAGCCCTGTGTGAACTGGGGAGATGTCGTTTTCCCACCCACCAGATGGGTGGGGAAATGCACCCCTCCCCCACCCTATGTATGTGAACTTGGGCTGGAGTAAACCTCCCTTGGAGGATGACTGTTTATCAAGGCCTGAGGCTCTGGGTCTACCTGAGGGAAACAGAGTTGTTGCTTTAAAAAAAATTTTTTTTTTAATGTTTCCAGTTTTGCATTTTTAAGAAATGGAGTTGGCAGTTGGAAAAGCCTGGAGGGTTTTCACAAGCAATTATCCTTAACAGTTAGGTGGTGTCTATTAGTTGAGACTAGTTGCTTTTTTTCTTTCCTCAAAAGGAAAACAACATGCCAGTGTTTACACACCAAAAAGGGCTTGACCACTTACTTCTGGGAGAGGCTCTAGGGGTTTGAAAGCATGGGTAGAATTCCTACCTGGCTATGTCAAATGGCTTAAGTGGCTCTGACTGCTCTTGACCACGTCGCTGAGAAAGAATTATTCTCTTAAAGAGTTGATCTCATTCCTGCCTCTGATAGCCCTAAAAGGCCAGTCTGTACCTGTGCCCATCTCAGAACAAGGGAAGCAGGGCCTCTCCCAGCCATCCAATGCCCAATCCTCAAGCTACAAGATCCAGAAAAGGGCCCTGCCCTTGGGAGAGCTCAAGGCTCAGTGGAAGGTCTGGTCTTGGCAGAGGCCCTCCCCACCCCAGGAGAAGGCCTTACCTTACTCTGCTTTCTGTCCAGATAGAACTGGTGCTGGCTAATGGCCATAGCCCAGATGGACTTGATCAGTGCTGGACACGCGTACCACGTGTGCACTGCGATGCCGCTGTGTCCAAACGTCCTTCTTGTCACCGAAGCCCTGGGAGAGCAAGAACCAGAAGGGTCAACCAACTGCGCTGGCCACGAAGGACTCCAGTCCTCAGTCCACAGCTTTTACCAAGAACCCACTGGGTCCAAAAGCTCTGGCATAAAGGTAACCGAAGGGCCATGTGTGCACACACGTGCAGCTGGCTGACAAAGGCCAGCTTTTCATTTTATTAAATAGAAAAGGATTCTATTTAAGGTATAGAATATGATAATTTGATCTTCATATACACAGTGATCACTGCAGTCAAGCTAAAGAGTATCTCAACTCCTCCAATATTACCATCATGTGTGCTTGTGTGTGTTTATGGTCAGAGCACCTGAAATCTGTTCTTAGCCATTCTTAGTATATTATTAACTATAGTCACCATGCTATACATTCTACCTCTAGGCTAATTCTTCCATAATTACCCCTTTGTACCCTCTGAGCAGCATCTCTTCATTTCCCCTTGCCTCCTTGCTCTGCCCTACCCCTAGTGATGGCCATTCTGCTCTCCGCTTCTGCGTATTGACTCTTTTAGTTTCCATCTATAAACGAGACCATGTAGTTTTGTTCTCTGCGTCTGCCTTATTCCACTTCATAATGTCCTCCAGGTCCGTCCGCGTTATTGCAAACAGCAGGGTCTCCTTTTTTTTTTTATAAGGTTGAATGATACTCTGTTGTGCATACACACCACAATTTCTTCATCCATCAGTGGACACTTAGGTTGCTGCCATATCTTGGCTATTGTGAATCCTGCTAATGTTTTGATTTACTGGCTCCTTAGGGGTCAAAATTTGGCTAAGCCTCTGCCTTGTCTGGAATAAGATGGGTCATTCGAGTTCACGGGACAGTCTTTTCTGATCTTCAGCTCCCGGCACTGGGCCAAGGCAAACTTTGGAAACAGGAAAAGCCTTTGACAATGCCCTTTATTAACCAGGCAACACTGCCTGTGGTGAAGGATGAGTAAATTTTCTTCTAACCACCACATCATCTAAGGCAATCAGGACTCCTTACATTATTTTTAGGCAATCTTCCTTGAAAGAGCTGGTTTCAATCTAAAATATATTCAGAGGGAAGGTGGGGTATAAAAAGAATCAGGATAGGGAAGGCAGAAAGAAATGGGCCCGTCCAGTCTCTCCCCTGCTACCCAAACCACTTCCACATACACACGGATGTAGATGTGGAGGATGTTGGACAGTGCAGAGAGGCAATCCGACTTTAAATGGAAGGTGGGAGAGACTGGTCCTAATGTAATTCATCACATTAATGGAATCATGGGGGAAAAGTTATATGATTGTGTTCTTAGTAAAATATATTTTATAGGATGGGTACGTGATTTTGCAAGTGAAATCTCAGAATGTGTGTGTGCATACTCACGTGTGTGCATCTGTAGGGCAAGGTGAGGGGGCAGGGGGTGAAGCTTGGGGTATCTTATATGCACGTCAGAAGAACAATATGCGTTCCAGATTGAGCTGTTGCATTTCCAGAACCTTGGGGGTGATCAGAACTTGTGAATAATCACATTATTTTCATGGCCAGTTTTTTTCCTTGAAGGAAATTAGAAGCTGCTCCAATCATCTTCTTTTAGGGTCTCAAGATTTAACAGCAGGTGTTCTAGAGACCCACTTTTAAGGAGGAATTCCAAACTGGTGGTTAGTTAAGACTACAGATTCTAAGCAGAACTTTATTCTTTTGGTTAAAACCAAAGTTAAAATGCCAGCTCACAGAAGAACACACAGTTGAAAATAACAGAAAAAGAGCTGGCGAGAGAGTGAGAAGGGAACCCCCATGGTCTCTGAAACTGCGATGAGAACACTCAATCTGGCTTCCACAGCAATGGCTGATCCTGGGAGTAAATACGTTCCCCCCACCCCCGGAAAAGGTGAATTAGAAAGGAAAAGTCATTTGAAATGTGCTTCAGTGGCAGCAGTGACAGCAGAGCCAGGCAAGGTGTATTTTTCAGGTAAGGTGGAGGGGTAGGAGGAGTGAGGGGGCTGGCTGGCCTGGGAGTGCCCAGCAGCACCTGATTCAGATGTTCCCAGGGTGTTTCTCAAGCTCCATTATGAGTTGGTCTCTTCTCTACAGGGTTCCCTTCAGGCTCTTCCCATCCCACCGACTCTTCTGTTTGGCCAAAACCTTAGAAATGGAATGTCTGCCAAGCCCAGTGAACCGCAGACACAATGTTGGGTATTGTGTCAGGATGCATCTCCAGGAGAGAAAATCTTGAAGCATCTTCTGTGGCGGCCGAGCCAACCCCCTGTACTTGCCATGTCCCGGGACATTGGTCTTCAGGACACGATTCTGCCCTGGCTCTTGCCATCCTATAACTTCAGTCCTGGCTTCCTTCCTGGGTTGGGGGAGGGGCTGACTACTGAACCATCCCAACAAAGTACAGACTATTAGATGACTCTTCCGTGTTCAAATAAACAAGGCAACAGCAACAGGATGACACGTTTAACTGGAGGAGCGCCAGGAGGCCTGTAGAAGAGTGCTTACTGAAGCGCCAGGCGGAAGTCAGGGTTGGAGCTTTGGCTACACCACTCAGCTTAGCAGCTAATCTAGAATGGTCCCCTTTGCCTACTCTGGTGCACCTTTAAAGCCATCGTCAACCTGGATTTCCACCTCTGAATCAAGGAAGCTGCATCTCTGGCCCCTCCTCGCCTCCCCTTTCCTCTCTCTGCTGGTCTCTAGGCTGACAGAGGACTACATTCCTTGAGGGGATGTGGTCACTGCTCACATTCAGCGCTTGGGCTGCCTCAGGCTCCTCCACCTCCCTCTTCTCTCTGACACCCACCTGACTGGCATCTTTATCCCCTAGAGGGCCCACTTTGAGCTCTACATCCTTAGCTAAGGATTTCTCCTTCTCAGGATGCCTCTCCAGACCAGCCTGGCCAGCTGCAGTATTTATAGGCTCTGTCGTTTGGTACTTGGTACCCGCTGTCCATGTATAATGTGGTGGAAGGCATGTGAACTATGGAGCCAGACTCCCCGGGTTCACACCCTGCCTCTATCCAGCTTGCTTTCTGTAACCTGGAGCAGGTTACGGTGCTTCGTCTGTGCCTATTTCCCAAGTAGGACAAGAATACTAGTACTTACTTCTGAGGGTTATAGCAAGGACCCAATCAGATAACAGTCCAAGTGTTTAGAACAGTGACTGTGCATAGCAAACACTTAATACACATTAAGTTCCTTATTCCTTCTCCCCAGCTGTGCTAGAAGTTCTCTTCAGGGCAAGGAGACCCTGTATGACTTTTTTCTATACCCCAGGCCCCATAACAAAGTAACACATAGTAAGTTATGAACACTGTTACAGGACACTGCCCAAACACTGATGCTACTGAACAAATGTGAGATGGATCACTTTCATGTAATAGGCTAAAGGCCCATGTAATAGGAACTTGTGAGGTTTGGACTCTTTCCGATATCCCTGGGCCTTGGGAAAAGGAAGGGAATTTGGTATTACAACACGATAGCACAACAGGCCTGGAGAGAACAAGAACACAGACACACAGACACACACGCAAGGATGTGTCCAAGGTACCTTTGCCTTAGCAGAATTCTCAACAGAACACAGTCTTAGAGTCTGTCTAGTCCTTACCCTCGGTCTCTTAGGTCATTCAATCTCCATCTTTGTCAGTCATCAGCGTTTTCTTCATCTGACCCACTGTAGCACTCATTTGGGGAAACTGTTTTCAGCGTCTCTCTGCTACCACCTGTCCTGCACCAACGGATTCCTGCTCTGTAGAGACCGGGTCTCCGGACCATGAGACCCTTCATCTCCGGACCCTGAAAAATGCTGCCAACACTCCTGTCATCACCTGACCACCACCTGGACTTAGGTCGTTTTCAGCTTGCCGAATGCATGGTAACTGTGGCGCGTGGGGGGCGCTCTTGGCTACATGGGAGGCTGCTTCACGCAGATTACAGGACCAGGCGAGTGATGCATCAGTCTTCTTGGGTTATCACTGGCTGCAGGAGCAGAGACAGCCACCCCCCAACAAGCCTCACCCTCTGACGGGGCATGAATCTTACTCCGGAGGTCTTGTGCTGAGAACTTTCTGGGAGGCACGTTGGCCTGAACGCCCAGAAGCCATGTGTGTGGGAAGCTGGTGCCAACAGCTCCTCTGCCCTGAGCCATGGCCAGGGCAGCAACAGCACATCACATTCCCATTTACTCCCCCAGAGACCCTGCCCTCCGCCTGTCTTCCCAAGGCTTCCTTCCTGTTCTCAGTCTGCTTTTGGACCTGTTGAAAGTGATTTATCCTTAAGCATTAGGTCTGTTTTCAGGGAATTCTGCTGCTGCTTCTGGGCTGCCTATAACTCTAAGACTAGCAGACAAAGAGAGGAAAAATTACAGTGCACCCCCAACCCCAACCTGAGAACCTTCCTCCAAGGGCTTGCTGCATTCCAAAATGGGACCCTATTGTTCAGTGCTGGACTTGGGAGCACTGATTCTGACACGACTGCTCCCTGGGGTACAATGTAAGGTGGAGAGAAAAAGACTTGCATTTCTTTCATATCCACCCACCACTGCGAATACCCTAAAGTTACAGCTCACGGAATGAGACCATTCAGCACAACTCTTTAGACTGTAGGTTCCCTCTGCTGCTGACCATCCAACCAAAAACAGTCTCAGAAACTGACAAGCCACCCCTCAGACTCTTCTGTGGCAAAAACTTCCTAAAAGGACTCAGGCCACTGCTCACTTTAATTTGGTAATTGTTCCAAAGCATTACAAATCTTTCCTAAAGTGCCCTGGCTTGTAAAGACAACTCCACATATACAGGCAAGTAACACATGTAGTCAGATGAGATGATCATGACATTGCTCTTTACACACACACACAGAATTTCTCAACACATAGAACAAAAACAAAGCTCTACTGTCTTATTTGAACTCTATTCTCCCAGTCAACCACCTTCTTCCCCCTAAATTATTAATAACATGAACAGTGACAGCACAAAAATAGCAATGTAAGTAATATGTCAGAAGGGCCACGCACTCCCAGGAGGAAAAAACATTTCTAGCTTACCTGCGTGGGTCATGAACTTCCACAGAAAACTTCTTCTCTCTGAAATACAGGTTTTCCAACTGTCTCCATTGGAATATCTGGACAGAAAACAATGCAGTTGAAGTTCAAGTGTGAGAGACTCACGGCTGCAGTCCTCTGTCTGCGGCTGAACTTACAGCTGGCAGTTTCCTTATCAGAGCTGAACCCGTGCAGTTGTTTGCACCTCCTAAGCCTCTTGCTTCTCACACACACACACACACACACGCACAGCTCTCCAGTTCAAAACCCCGGCAACGTGGGTGTGGATTTTCCTGCAGGCTTCTCAACAGGAACAAAACAAGTTCTTTTCAAGTGGTTCCCCGGCTCTGCTGGGCCTTTGTTGAATTCTCCAAGATAGTTCCCAGCTCTGCAGTTTTCCCTCCAAGGCGAGGGGGAGGAGGAGGAGTGGAGGGCGGGCTGGCGGAGGGAGGGAGGGAGGGAGGGAGCCAGCGCTCTCAGGAGGGAGCAGTAGCCATCTGCCTGCAGCGCTGATCCGGCTTCCTCCCTGCAGTGCTCCAGTGGTAAGGCGCTTGCATTCCCAGCCTCCCCTCGGGACTCCGCTTCCCGCCCACTAATGTGTCAGCGGCGGACTCGCCCTGTGATCTGGGGCGGCTGGGGAAGCTTCCCCTCCAAGGGTAGGGGCTGCTTGGACCCTATTTGGGGGCAGGCGACTCCAGATAACAACAGAAGCCTGACAAGCCCAACTTCTTTCTTCAGCACAAAGAAAATCAGGGCTAGCGGGATGCTGCAGCCAGGGGCTTGTGGCCACTGGGGCATCGGAGAGTGAAATTAGGGCCGTTCTGAACAGTGGGAGCTAAACAGTTCCTGGCACTGCCCAAAGGCCCTGAAGGCCTTGGTGGACATTCTTCCTTGGCTGAGCGAGTCTGTTCACTAAGATGTTTGGGAGTAATTAGAGTGGCAACACTGCTCTGCGAAGGGGTTCTTGCATTGGATGAAAAAGAAAGTTATTTAAATTCTGAGGGAAATGTCAAAAGAAGTTCAACTTATGCCCATAACATTCATATTTGTATCTGATGCAATATTGCAGTCCCTTCAATAGAATTTGAGTTTGTTTAGCCAAAAGAAGGGCCAAACAGATCTTCACCCTGCAAGTGGCTGATTTCTTCCCCTGCCCACTGAGTTAAGGCAGATACTTTTCAGGGTCTTGTCTTAGACCCAGAATCCTCTCATCTGACGCCCCTGACACTTTCTGATCTGTTCACATTCTTTCCTGCAAGAGGACAATTTCTGTGTCCCATCAATCCTCCTTGCCAGGCCCAAGACACAGGCCTGGCCAAAGGACTCCGCCTTGTTGTCAAACTGGGCCAGAATAAAACTGTTTCCGGCAAGGCTGCCTTCTTCTCACAACCTGCTCTGCAGAATCTTAAAATGATTCTGTCTGCCTAATGGGGAGGAGGACATGGATTTTCTCTGATTTCAGAGCCATCTCTTTTGCTTACAGCTCAGAGTACATTTTGCTCTGAAGTCCAAGGAAAATTGTACTTCCTTTTTTCCTTTCAGGTCAGTTCCAAGGAAAGCAAGTCCTACAGGAGCTCAGAGAGCCTTGTGTCCGATCACAGATGAAAAGCCACCTGTGTAGTCGATGACTCGAGTCCCAGATCTGAGCCTTAAGCTCTTAACTGATTGCTCTGCTAAATCCCGTAGTGAAATGCACACAGTTCCTCTCTGATTCCCCACTGATAGGTATTTACCGAGGGTCCACCTGAACTTGGCCACAGACACACAAGCACCAGAACTAACAGCTCCCTGACCTTGTAACCTGGAGGAAGGTAGAACAAAGTGGCCCGGCAGATGCTCTGGAGTCTGGCTACATTTGTTTGAATCCTGAGCCCCTTACATCCAAACAGTGTGACAACAGGTAAGTGACTGCATCTCCTTTAGCCTCAGTTTTCCCATCTGTAAAATGGCAATAACACTTCTAAGGTAGAAGCAACACAGATCCTTCGCACAGTACTGGTACAAAGTAAATATTCAGTGAACTCAGGTCTCAGTGCAATTCTAGTTGCTCTTACTTCTCCCAAATCCTGGCAAATGAAGTAGATTAACTCCAGAACAACCAAAATTATTAAGCTTTTTATTTTTTTTTTTTTAACTTCTAGCCCTGTCATTGGGGTTTAAGAAAATAAAAGTCCCAGAAATCTGAAGTGTATGGATTTAGTACCCTGCCTACCCCCCATCCCCTTTTCTCCAAAGAGAAGGGTGGGTAGGAGATGGCTGATCCCTGAGGGGGACTTGCAGCATGTGCGTGGCACCCACCTGGCCAGGTAAGGTGGAGCCTCAGCAAGGACCTGTTTCTCGGGTGTGTGACCCGAGGGCCCTATGCTTGGTCTAACATTCTGCTGTCTCCATCTCAAAATTCTCAATAAGTTTGATCAATAGGCTCTGAATTTTCATTTGTCTTGGGCCCGGAAGATTATGCCACTGGTCCTGACTGATGCTCATGCCTCAGGCACTGTCTTTGGGGGACAACACGTGGGGGATGATGCATCTGATGGGCAGACCTCCTGGGCTTTATCATCTTGGCATTGGTGCGCTGGTGAGCACCTCACATGGGCCTCGGGTCGGGAGCTCCCTCCTTCCTGGTAAAAACTCCCAAAGCCCAACACTCAGGGGCTGCGTTCCCTGGCAATTTCTCCCTCCCTGGCTTTTTATAAAACAGAACTTACGCTGGGTGTTACCCGAAAGTACTCCCCACGCCCCTGGAGTGGAGAGCCTCGAGTCTGCCAAGGACCAGAACACAACCTTGTATCTGCTGTGGCCCTTCTGCCTACTGATGGTGCATTGCAGACTCCTGCCTCGGCACGGAACCCTGACGGCCCAGCTCCCAGCATCTGTAGGCATTTCCAATGGTAGCAGAACAGGGCCTTTGCCCCGTTTGCTCTAGGCAGGGTTTTTTCCTTATTTTTTTTCTTCTTTTTTGTAAATGAAAACACTGGGAAGGGAGGGTAGGAGGGTAGTTTTCTAGGCCAGGAAGGTCCCAGGAACCCAGGGGAGGTGTTCATGAGGGAACAATGGTCTCATCCTTTCCTCCCACACCTGGGGGGACATTGAGTGCTTGGAAACAGGCAGGGGGATGAAGGCAGCTGGACGCCCCACGCACCAATGTGGCCTCTTGTGATTGAGGCCCCCGTGCCCGCTGTTCTGAGGCTGTGCCTACTAAACCCTCCCTCTGAGGCTGGTAGAGTCGAACAACAAGCAGATAAACTGCAGACATTCGGCTTGGCTCCCCTTTGTGAACAGGGTACACTAGGCTCCGAGGCGCTGGTTTGGGGGCAGCCCTCGATCATCCATGTCACTTCAAAAGAACCCCTTTACTCACTGAAGCTATCATAACCCAGCCACCAGCTAAAGACACCAACATGTTTTGAGACTCCACATAAAGAACTCATCGGACGCACAAAGATGGTTATGGCTGGGCTAGATCCTTTAGGAGTTTGGCTAATTCCTATGGCCAATTCTGCCCAAGGAGCTACCTAAAATCTCAAACACAGGTCTAACAGTAATCAAAGGACTTATTAATTAATACCTATGAAAAAGGCCTAATGCACTTCATTGGGGCATCTTTAAAAAGCAGACACCTCTTCTTTGATCTTTTAGCATTCCCCCCGCCCCCCCCCCCCCCCGCCGCCCCCGCCACGAACAGCAAGTGGGAAAATTTCTTCTTGGGGAAAATGAGGCCCAGAGAAATGAGGCCTAAGGCCACACAGCAAGTCAGTGAAGGAACCAGAAATAGGAGTCAAGGGCACCTGGCCCATTACTCTAACCTCTAACTATGTTCCTTTCCCTACGGGGTACACCAATTATTGGGAACAGCTCTTACTCACTAATGGATGGTTAACTTTATGAGTGGAATGATTTTTTTTTTTTTTTACAAATGAGCAGCTAGGTAGGAAGTATAAGCCACATCTTTTCCATCCTATATGGAGGCTTTTCTTTCCTTTACAGGCTGTAAATGATAACACTTATTACTCCTTTCTTGCCTTAGAGTTCTGGCTTCCTCTGGTTTTCTACACAGAGATGCTTCAGTATCAGCAGCTTTCCATCCAGGACTAACAAGTAACAATCATGATTAAGAACAGACTTAATAATTTGGCCTTGCCCAGAAAACAAAAGAGAGGAGAAACCTTCCAGAAGTGGTTTTATGGAGACTGTGCCTGTTGCCATGATTGGAACCACGGCTGGTCGTGGATGTGGATTTGTGGCTTCTGACCCAGATGTGTAGTTCCCAAGCAAACATGGGTCCTCCAGTTCCCCTTGCTGGGGCTCAATGTGATGTGTAAAAGAGGAGACGGAAAATGTTTAAGCACAGAAAGCAGACAAGAGTGGCTAATAAACACAGCCTCTGTGCCCTGAGTGCAGCAGAGTACACTAAAACACTTAACAAGCCGGACCAGGTTCCTGGATCCCATTAGCTGGTCTGCCTGACTGCCACATCCTGTGTACGCTGGAGGTCAGGGCTGGGAAGGACTCCTGTCCTGTTCTTTCGGAGTGGGTGAAGGAGCAGTGGGGACGGGCCCAAGGGCCTTGACTCCTGAGACTTCCTCCGTGGCCACTGTTTACTGGGCGCCAGCGCAGCACGTGGGGTGATGGGTGAGCTCTCGAAACGAGAGGGAAATAAAGGCTTGAGAGGAAGCCAGCTCCAGTGGCTCTGATTCTGGAGCAGGACTTGGGGGGTGGGGGCTTGACTTCCTCCTGTCCCTGAGGCTGAGTCACCGAGCCTCTTAATGACCTCCCTCTGAGTAACTTCCTGCTGCTTCTAGAGGGGCCATTATACTGAGTCCCGGGGGCCATTATACTGAGTCCCGGGGGCCATCTGGCCAGCCCCCGCCTCCCACAGATAAAGCCAGCCCAGGGCGGAGAAGTTAAGGGACTGGCAGAGGTTAAATGAGTAACCGATGTCAGGCCCACTCTCGTGGGCTCTTCCTAACACACCAGGAGGACCTGGTAATGAGAGCAGTTGTTTCCAGCCGATGGTTAAGTAAGCCATCGCTCCTCCAAAGGCTGCCTGCTTTGCAAACACCAGCAAGGAGTTCTCTTG